TTGCAAGAATCAGATAAAATGGCCAAATAATAGCAGACATTGACATTATTTGATCTGTTGCTTTAGTATGTGTCCAGTTCTTGGTGAAAATGAGGCAGACCTTGTCTTTGATTTCTTCTGGCAATAGAACCTAGCATCTTTTGTCGTTTCTCTAGCAGTCTTCTTTGACATGTGATTTTTTTCCCCCTATATAAATAGTTTATTTCCTTACGTCTTGTTGTAGAATAGTTAATGACTCTCTTTATAATTTCCGTGCGCTGGTCTTAAAGTTCTCCGAGTTAAGTTCCACGTAATATATTATTAGGGAATAAATAAGAAACGTGATGATAATATGAAGTTTAAATATATATGATGGAAGCATACAGTAACCACAGCAATTATTTAGTACTTAGACCAACAAAAGATTTTTTTAGGCAAGAATATTGTATGACTGACATTGTTTAGAAGTGCAGGTGTATAGTGATAATCTAAAGCAGGCTGATGTTTAATCAGTTTTACTATGGTTTTAAAATTATGTACAGACCATGCACTCATTGTCTATACTCGAGATAGACTGCCATCACTGTGTGCCACTTATATTTGTTATGTCACTGATTCAGATTCTCATTAGACAAAGCTGGTTTTCTCCCTCCATCTGGACCTCTCTCTTCAGGCTCCTTTGAAAGTCTTCCTCATTCTCACAGTACTGGAATTACCCAGGTTTTGGTTCTGAGCCGTCTCCTCTCTCTGTTTTTTTCAATAGATAATATTAGTATATATTTCTGGGGCTTTAAATGCGGTCTGTATGCCAGTGATTCCCATGTATTTCTCTCCAACCTAGGTTTCTTTTTATCCCCCACACTTGCATGTCTAAGGACCTTCTTGAGGTCTGTCTACTAGGTGTCACAGATACCTTAAACCAGAGTGGGACTCTAGATTTGCTCCTGCACATGGTCTCCTCCCCATTGTTTCCCATCTCAGCTGATGACGCCACCATCCTCCAAGAAACACACACAAGAAACTCAGATGGCATACTTGACATCCCTGTTCCCCCCGACCTGTCTGATTCATTACCCAGCCATGCTTATTCCTCCTCCAAGATAAAAGTTAAATCTAACCCGGTTTAGAGACCTGCTGACAAATGTGCTCTTTTTGGGGAGTAAATCCCATCGTTCAGTAATCTCACTGTCAGAAATTGTTTCTTGTTTCAAATAGAAAAATTTTCACTAAGCTAAACCATTTTCTCTGAAATCTCATCATATAAATCAAAAGTTGGCAAACCTTTGCTGTAAAGGACTAGATAGTAATATTGTAGGTTTTGTGGTCCTACAGTCTTTGTTACAGCTAATCAATTCCATGTGCCATTGTAGCAGGAAGGCAGCCATAGACAGTACATAAACAAGTGAGCATGGCTGTGTTCCAGTGAAACTTTTTTTTTTTTTATAATTTTATTTATTTTTCCCCCAAAGCCCCAGTAGATAGCTGCATGTCACAGTTGCACATCCTTCCAGTTGCTGCATGTGGGACGCGGCCCCAGCATGGCCGGAGAAGCGGTGCGTCGGTGCGCACCTGAGATCCGAACCCGGGCCGCCAGCAGCGGAGCACGCGCACTTAACCGCTAAGCCACGGGGCCAGCCCCAGTGAAACTTTATTTATAAAAATAGATGGCATATTTGTACACCATCATTCATAGCAGCACTATTCACAATAGCCAAAAGGTGGAAACAACCCAACTATCTGTCAATAGATGAGTGGATAAACAAAATTTGGTATGTCCATACAGGAATATAATTTGGCCGTGAAAAGGAATGAAAATTTGATGTATGCTACAACATGGATGGACCTTGGAAACATTATGCTTAGTGAAATAAGCCAGGCACAGAAGGACAAATACTGTATGATTCCACTTATAAAAGGTACCTAGAGTAGGCGAATTCATAGAAACAGGAAGTAGAATAGAAATTATCAGGGTTGGAGGAAGGAGGGGTTATTGAATAATGGTTACAGAGTTTTTGTTACGGGTAATGAAGTTTTGGGCATAGATAGTGGTGATAGTTACACAACATTATGAATGTACTTAATGCCACTGAATTGACAGATTCACATTTACAGATGGTTAAAATGATAAATATTATGTTAATGTCTGTTTTACCAAAATTTAAAAAAGAATAAAAAGGAAAACATGAAAATGGAAAAAAAAAAAAAAAAACGGAGGAAGTTGGCAGGCTGAGTTTGGCCCCCTGGCTGTACTTGTGAATCCTTGATGTAGATCGTGCAGTCTGTCAGTCTCTACTTTAGGCTTGTTTCATACATGTTTGTATTCTAATTCTTAGTCATCTTAGTGACTGTCCTCTGGGTACTTGATGTTCTTAAATGGTGGAACTAAGAAATGAGCCTCAATAAGTGTTTTCTCATTTGACTTCTATTTTTATCACCCCAAAATTCATGTGTTGAAGCCTAATCCCCAATTTGTTGGTTTTAGGAGGTGGGGCCTTTAGGAAGTAATTAGGTTATGGGGGTGGGGCCCTCATCAATGGGATTAGTGGCCTTATAAGAAGAGACAGAGAAATTATGTAATGTGATGAGAAATTATGTGTACATGAGCATACAGCAAAAAGGCATCTGTCTACAAACTGGGAAGAGGGCCTTCACCAGGAACTGAATTGGCTGACATCTTGATTTCCAGAACTGAGAGAAGTAAATTTCTGTTGTTAAAGCCACGCAGTCTGATATTTTTGTTGTAGCAGCCTGCACTAAGACAACTTTCCTCGCTAGAACATAAGTTCCACAGGGGCAGGCTTGGTTTTGTTTGTGGCTGTTATTCCTGATGCCTAGAACAGTGTCAGCTACACAGGAGGCCCTCAGTTAATAAGTGCTGAACTGCTGCGAGGACTGACTTAGGCTGTGGTTCCTTGATGCCACGGGTCTTAAGAGTTAGACTTTAGGAGTTTACGTCTGCCACTTCTAGCTAGTTAACCCTGAGCAACTTAACCTCTCTGTGCCTTAGCGTTCTCCTCTGTAAAATGAAGTTGCTTGTTTGCTCACTTCCTAGGGTGCAACTTCTGTGCAGTGATTAAAACAATGCCTACGTGTAAACATTCAATAAAATGTCGGTTGCTGTTACATTCTGTGATTCCTTGTAATGACCTATAATGTTTCCTAAAATGAAGAGTGGTGAGAGAAGAGAGGCATTTAAAGTTCAAAACTTGTATTCTGTGCTTTTCATTGCTGAGAGTGATTGAACTTGATAATGACCACTTGAACCAAATGAACCTACATCCTGTCTTTATCTTGCCCTCATATTCTGATGTCAGAGAGTCATGTGCTAAACAGCTCTGCGTAGTTTTTTGGTGGTGACATCAATTGCAGGATTGGGTTTGGTTTGGGTTTTGGTCTTGTTTTTTAAAAGTAGTGGAAAGGTAATGCAAGGTAAGAGTTGAACAAGCCAGTTTGCACTTCTGAAAGTTTTTATGTTATTGCTCTTTGTGAAACAATTTGATGGAGAAGCAGAAAATTTCAGTCTGTGTTGAAATTTTTGGAGCATCATTTTCTGCTTTGGTCACCAAAGCAGTAAAAGACAATTTTTGGCCTCTGGCATCTTCACTCTAGTTTAAGAGGCAAGGCCAACAAAAATTCAAAACAGCATGATTTAGAGTTTGTCAGTGTTATTATCAAAAAATAATCCAGGAGTTCAAAGAAAAGGTAAGAATCCGAGGCTGAAGTGATAGAATCCACAAGCCCTTGAGAATTTGTGCTAAGCTCTGGAGGGTCGGCATAGAAAGAGGTAATGAGAGCGAGCAGAGGAGAAACTCCCACCAGGCGCTTGTGAATTAACCTGAGAGAGAAACAGGCTGGTTGGAATACGGAGGGCATGTGCAAAGGGGAAACAGAAGGGAAGACTAGATAGGTTTGAATGGGATCAGACAGCATACGACCCAGAATGCCGAGTGGAAGTATTATTCCTCTGTTGAAGAGTCTGTGCCACATGTGAAAGTATATCGCTGTATTTTCTGTATCAGTTTTTCCTTTATAGCATCAGGAGAGCAGAGAACAGAATTGTGACGATCAATTAGGAAATTAAGATAGTCATTTAGGTTTGAGATAATGATAAGAACTAAGTTGATGGCAGTGGGACAAAGGGAGAAGACCTTTTAAAAATGATCAATAGGATTTGGTGTCTGGGATACAGGAAATTAATTATGGGGGTCAGTATTCCATCTTTTTTTAACCTGTTGGATTTGCGATGATAGACATATGGATAGAAATGTCCTACATTCTTTGAACGCGTATTTACTGAGGGCCAACTATGTGCGCACCTTGAACAAGGCTCTGAGGATACATGGGAATCAAAACTGACAAGCATCCCTGTCTCATGGAGTTTACTGTCTACTAGGAGAGGCCGACAGCAGTCACACAGCTGTGATTACCAACTGTAGTCAACGAAAGGTGCGGAGTAAAGGCCATGCAGTGAGGGTGGGTGGGTCGTTGTGCATCTGAGGAACTCGAAGGCCAGGAGAGCTGCAGCAAAGAGTGAGGGGAGAATAGTGAAGAACGAGGGGGCTAGAGAGCTAGGCTGGAGGCTAGCAAAGAGGTGAAGGCTATACAATTAGATTTGAGTCAGCCTTGCAGAGTTGGTGCTTAACAGGAAATGTGTGTGGTGGACAAAAAGCAGAACTCTGAGAGGTGGTAGGAGGAGAAGCAAGGAAGTAGAGAAGTGGGAGTAGAGCCTGGCAAGTGGACACCGAAGCCAGTAATGGTGAACTCTTCCCTGTAGGCTAAGAAGGAACACTAATAGAAAGGACCGTTGAATTTGGCATTGAAGATTTTGGTGACTTTCAAGCAGAAACAGGATTTCAAGAGATTGAGGAGAAGGACTGGCTGGTTAAGAAATTGAGGTAGTGGCTATAAATCACCCATTTAAGAAGCTGCTAATAAAAGCACTTTTTATTGTTTTAAAAATGTATTTGCCCACATAGACCTTTTTACTCAGCTAAAATGGTCAATCTTATGATGTGTTTCAGATGAAAAAAAAGATATTGACCATGAGACAGTGGTTGAAGAACAGATCATTGGAGAGAACTCACCTCCTGATTACTCAGAGTACATGACAGGAAAGAAACTTCCTCCTGGAGGGATACCTGGCATTGACCTCTCGGATCCCAAACAACTGGCAGAATTTGCCAGGTAAGTTATAAGAACTTTCCTTTTAATTGTAGAAAATACTTGAGTGTTGTCAGCTGTGGTTTTCTGTGCCTAAGTTACGATGGTGGTTTGTATTCTTGTTCTAGGGAAACTTCTGAAAACAAAAGCAGTTTGTTTTATTTTTAGTAGTAACTATGCTATTAGTGTGAGTGGCACCATTTTAGATCCTTGTGGACAATGAGATAAAGCAAATGCTCTTCAATTGTATACCTGACATTGCGTGTGAATAAATACAATTGCACATAATTTGTTTGGAAATGGATATCTTTATACTACCTCCTAGCCTCTTTGTATACACTTTAGATTTGAGAGTATTGTCCTGGATTAAGCTGCAGGAGACCTAGGTCTGTCCTAGATTTGTACAGCTGACCACTGGAAAGGATGTCATCGGTTCATATTTCAGCATGTCATCAGTTAAGCTCCCAGTGTTTTGTTAATTTAAGCTGGCATGACAGGAAGAGATCAAATATTTGTGGCTGGGACCCCTCTGACTGTCCAAGGTGAGCAGTCAGGAAGATCTGAACCCGCTGGATGGATGTTTGTTTTGCCTGAATCGGGCTGGCTTCCTACAGAAGCCTCTGCCCCTTTTTATGTTATTTATTTTCCAGTACTATTTGGCAGTTTTTACAAGGACATGAGAAAACCCACAACGATGTAAAATTTTATTTATTTATTAATAATTTTATTTATTTATTTTTCCCCCAAAGCCCCAGTAGATAGTTGTATGTCATAGCTGCACATCCTTCTAGTTGCTGTATGTGGGAC